GTTCTATCAGCCCTCTTTTTTAGTATATAAGCCCAGCAAATAAAGCGGATATATAATTGCAGATAGATAGAGAGATTGAAAATTGAGATAATCGAGTCAAGCGAGCAGTAGGCACCGTGAAGTGAAGTGTGTAAATCGCTGTGAATTATAGCGTGTGTTTATAAAAATAGGTAAGTTTAAAGTGACTGTGGAAATTAAGTGTATTACAAATAATGGTTGGAGACGGCTTGAATGGGTAATGAAGAAAAACTTTAATATAAGTTTAACATAACAGCAAATGTACATCATTTCGACAAGGTTTTGTCATCATCAGTACCTCCAACCATTATTAGTCTCAAAGTGGGTTCCTCGTCAACGAATTTAAGTGTATTACAAAGTTTGTAACAGGAAAGAATAAACTAGTTTTAATTAAGAAAGGACTTGTATCGCTGAAGTTTCTCGGAAATTATCAAACAAACAGACACGTAACAATATTGTACCCTTGTTTCTGCATACTGTATGAAATTTTTAGATGCTACAGAGGCCTTAATTTTCATGTACTTTCTAAATATTATGTCATCCGCTTTCTGGCAGTCAAACATCTAAATTAAAATATTAAAAATAATAGCTTACAATAGTATTTTATTTAAGCCAAATTATAAAGACTCTCACACCAACGTACTTCTAAAGATGGATGACCTATAGCTTGGACTACCTGTCCATCTGTAAGACACATCATTGATTCTTTTCAGTACAGCATACGACCCTTTTCCAACATTTCTTTTTGAAGCAGGGATTGTACAGCCACATCACGTCACTCCGATGGGATCTAGTCTTATCAGCATTAACATCATAGTGATGTGTTATTTTATCATAATTGAATTTAAGTGTTTCCTGGGTAAAGTCATATAAATATATATATATATATATATATATCTTGGAGTTCAGTCTACAAAATAATTTTACTGTTGACCAGGTTCTTTTAGATTATTTATTAGAAATAATGCAAAATCCAGTCTACATAGCAATAACGAATTGATTTATTTCTTCGATAATGTTTACTAGAGGTCATGTTCAGTGATAGACTTAACTTCACGATCAATGTTTCAATAAAAATTCTGAAGCTAATATGTACCTAACTTGCATATAAACACACTTGCAAGGATTTTCTCATTAGTCGATCATTATAAATCAGATATGGTAGCTAATAATTAATTAAATGGAGATTTTAATTATATATATATATATATAATTAGCATAGACTATTTATTTAAATATAAATATAAGTTGAATTGAAAGTTCGTCCTTTACTCATATTTATTAGCATTACAACTTCTATTGTTTTATGAAAATACGTTAAAACCAGCGTTGTTCGTGCAGAAATTAATTATTAAATTTCTGTATAAATTTATAACAGCAGCAAAATTATTGTCTCTTTTACCAGGAACAATCTGTCAAGTTTCCAAACACATCATGTATTAATTCAGCTTTAAATCTCATCATCCACATCTTGTGCAGTTAAAAATTCGTGTGGAAACTGTAGTTTCACAAAGTTTCTAAGATTCAGCTAATACCTGTCAGACAGATAGTTAAAATAGTATCTTCCACAATCCACTATTGTCTAACCTGTCAGACAGATAGTTAAAATAGTGTCTTCCACAATCCACTATTGTCTAACCTGTCAGACAAGTGGTTAAAATAGTGTCTTCCACAATCCACTATTGTCTAACCTGTCAGACAGATAGTTAAAATAGTGTCTTCCACAATCCACTATTGTCTAACCTGTTAGACAAGTAGTTAAAATAGTGTCTTCCACAATCCACTATTGTCTAACCTGTCAGACAAGTGGTTAAAATAGTGTCTTCCACAATCCACTATTGTGTAACCTGTCAGACAAGTGGTTAAAATAGTGTCTTCCACAATCCACTATTGTGTAACCTGTCAGACAAGTGGTTAAAATAGTGTCTTCCA